GTATTAGAATGAGGTCCATAAGTATTAGAATGAGCTCCATAAGTATTAGAATGAGGTCCATAAGTATAAGAATGAGGTCCATATATATTAAAATTAGGTTCAGTATTAAAATGAGGCCCATTAGTTTTAGAATGAGGTCCATAAATATTAAAATTAGGTTCATAAGAATTAGAATGAGCTCTATAAGTATTAGAATGAGGGCCATTAGTATTAGAATGAGGTCCATAAGTATTAGAATGAGGTCCATAAGTATTAGAATGAGGTCCATAAGTATTAGAATGAGGTCCATTAGTATTAGAATGAGGTTCCATAAGTATTAGAATGAGGTCCATAAGTATTAGAATGAGGTCCATAAGTATTAAAATGAAGTCCATAAGTATTACAATGAGGTCCATAAGTATTACAATGAGGTCCATAAGTATTAGAATGAGGTCCATAAGTATTAGAATGAAGTCCATAAGTATTACAATGAGGTCCATAAGTATTACAATGAGGTCCATAAGTATTAAAATGAGCTCCATAAGTATTAGAATGAGGTCCATAAGTATTAGAATGAGGTCCATAAGAATTAGAAAGAGATCCATAAGAATTAGAAAGAGGTCCATTAGTATTAGAATGAGGTCCATAAGTATTAGAATGAGGTCCATAAGTATTAGAATGAGGTCCATAAGTATTAGAATGAGGTCCATAAGAATTAGAAAGAGGTCCATAAGAATTAGAAAGAGGTCCATAAGTATTAGAATGAGGTCCATAAGTATTAGAATGAGGTCCATAAGTATAAGAATGAGGTCCATAAATATTAAAATTAGGTTCATAAGTATTAGAATGAGGTCCATTAGTTTTAGAATGAGGCCCATAAATATTAAAATTAGGTTCATAAGAATTAGAATGAGCTCCATAAGTATTAGAAAGAGGTCCATTAGTATTAGAATGAGGTCAATTAGTATTAGAATGAGGTCCATAAGTATTAGAATGAGGTCCATAAGTATTAGAATTAGGTCCATATTTATTAGAATGCACTCTTGGCCCAAAATAAATCCATAAATGGGTCTTTAATATTAGTGTTGTTGATGTTTGTAGTCCTCGGTCTGTTGGAGCGTCTCCGTGACGATGTCAGTCACTGTTGTGTTCCTGCTGGAGGCTCCACCTGCTGCTCCTCAATCTGTCGCTTTGCCTTTTATTTACATGGAGACGAGGAGGTTTTTCCAAGATATTTCTGAGCAACATAAACTGGACAATAACAAGACTCTGACAGACGAGTTACAACGTGCCCCTGGAGACACGCTTGTGGACATAGATTTGTTTTGAACCGACTTTAAAGAGAAAACAAACAGGAGTTTGTCTTCAGTTCAAACACCAGGATGTGACCTGTGATGTCGCACAGTCCAGTCAGACCGGATCTCTCTGCACAACAACTTACTTCATTATAATAAAGTTAGAGATGTTATACTTACTTCTTGCAATTCCTGAAGTTAGATATTTTATACTTTCTACTTTATGGTACTAAAGTTGGAGATTTTAGACTTGCTTCCTTAGCATGTTAAAGCTACAGGTTTTTTACTTTACTTTTTATGCTAGAATTAGGGATTTATTCTATTCTATTTTAGTAGAGTTTTAGTTAATTTATCTTGTGCTGTGTGCTCTTCATTCGAACTGTTCTGTAACTGGTGATGCAACACTGAAATTTCCCCACTGTGGGACAAATAACGGATCTGATAATTAACACCATTTCATAATTTTTAACAGTTGTACAATATTATGAACACAACACATGACAATTAATTCTTATTTCTTAGTGCTGGATGGTCAAAAGATGTTTTATTGTAAAGAAATTACAGTGTATTCTTATTACAGCAAATCGTGAAATATTTTTTGGGTTATTTCCAAAATTGTCATGAAAGCGCAACATATTTCACTGTGTAATAAATCTATATCATATCTTCCTTCCTGTGGGTTCAATAAAGAGACGGTGAAAAGCTGCCATGTTAGATTTGAGAATATACTTTTGATGCAGTCGAGCAAAGACTGATGCTCACCTTCACCGTCTTAACAAACAGCAGATGGAAAAGTATCGATGCTCTTTCTGAAACCAGATTAAAGTCTCTTTGAAATGATTTAGAGTTTGGAGGAAACATCTATGAGCTAAAATGTGTTCTCCAGATATCCACGTCAAGTCACACATGTGCTGCCTTCTTAAAGCTGGGGTACGTAACTTTAAAATACGTTTTATTCATCCCAACAGAAAGAGTAAAGTCAAGTCTTTGGAGAGAGCTGACTGGCTCAATGAGGCTGGTCCTTTCTTTGTCACTTTGTAACAAGATGGTCTGTGCCAGAGGTCGAAACACACCTGAACATTTGTGTGAGATCAATAAAGTCTATCTTATCTTAGTGATGAACAGTTTTTGATAACGAGAATTTTTGTCACATAGTTCAACTTAATACATTGGTTTTAAACAGTGCTTTTTAAAAACGCTTCACAATTCAGGACACATGCACACATTTAGACAGATTCATAAAACTAAAAATCTAAAAGCAGGAAAGAAGAGAACAAAGCTGAAACTAAGAGTCATATGCTTAAAAGAATAGATGAGTTTTTAACTTTTTTTTTTTTTTTTTTAAAGTTTAGAGAGTTTCTGAGATGAGGGGGAAGATAGTTCCAGAGAGTGGGAGCAGAGATGGCGAAAGCTCGGCCCCCCCAAGGTTCGGTGCTTGGATTTGACAGTGGCAGGGAGGAGATGTGAGACAGCGGAGAAGGTGATGGCCCCAAATGTTATTGAGTCAAACCAAAGTATAACTGAGCAACATAAACGGAAAACTGATAAAATCTCTCATTAAAAAGGAAATGCTGCAAAATCAGTAATAAACAAGTAAATATACTTGTGCCCTTTGGCTGTAACTATCCTTTTGAGTACAGACTTGGAGGTTGAATCAGAAGGTTGATATGAATGTAATTTTAAAGCCTAAAATTAAGACAAAGGTTTGTCCCAACAGTAACATGTTTACGTTATTGTATCGTTTGTAAGCCTTGATTCTTTTGCTAATCAAATAAATACATCAACACTCCAACCAAATATAGCAGTCATTAAGAAATAAAACAGTTGCTCACATGAATGAGTCTGGTGTGTGCAGCTGTGGCTTCAGTAGGACTTTATCACCACTGTCTGTGAAGCATCTTTGAGTGTCCAGAAAGGTGCCATATAAACATTGTTACATGTGGCTCAGGTGAAGGTTATAAAACTAGATACAAAGCACACGAGGGACAATGCTTTACATAAGGACGAAAAATCCTATACTATATATATGCAGACAGGGGGAGAACATGCAAACTCCACACAGAAAGGCCTGGAGGTGGAATCGAACCCATGACCACCGTACCACCCCCAAACTAATCAAATAAAAACGCGGTTTGAAAAGCAGCAAAAACGACCAAACAACACGACTTAAGACTTTTAATAGCTGTGTGCAGCAACCAGCATGTGCATTTACTCTGTATACATTAAAGATATTAAAACAAGATTTATTCAATTATAATTAAAAAAAAAAATCACATAGAAAATCTCTTAAAAAAATAATCAAAAGAAATGTCTGCGTTGTTTCCAGTGACGTCCATTGATTCTCACAAGACAAACAGAGAAAGAAAGTTTCACAGAAGATTACACGTTCCTTACAAGTCTTTTACAAGTTCCCAAACATCACAAACGGACACCTGTGAAACTAAATCACCAGCGTCTTGTGCCGTTAAGTGTAAATCCATGAGAGTTTGTGTGATAATAAGTGCGAAGAAGCAGTCGCCGTGTCGGAACATGAGGATTACAGATCGCAGAAGTGATATGTTTACATTAGCAGCTCACACAGACCGCTGCCGTCCAATCCAGTGCTAATAACACAGACCCTACAGAGTCTGGGCTCCACACATTCATTCTTGCATAGGCGTGGGCAGCGGACAGGACCCATAGTAAAGAGAGTGAGCACAGAACATGTCCAGCAGCATTTGGAAGATCATGTTTTGACAAAGAAAGGCAAACAGACAGCGGTTTCAGCAGTTTTCGGGGCAGTTTCAAGTGTTCAGCAGTGACCACAGAGCTGCAGCTGGAACCTCGCTTCTCCGACAGCGCCCTGTGCCCTGCATAGTGATTAGACGCTGACATTTGACGAGACTTTATGTGCGCACGAGTCATTTTAGTGGCTAATTTTACAGTCTCTCATAAAGCGGAGAGGCAGGAATGCAGTCGTGGTTGTTACGGACTGTTGCTGAAAGTTATTTGGCCAGGCCTCTCTTTTTTCCCCATATAACAAACTTCCCTTTCAAATATTACTATAATATAAGATTACAGCCAAATTAAGGAAATAGTCTAGTGGTATATAAACCTTTGTGTCGCGAAACCCGTCAAAAAAGGCCTTTCTGAAACACTGCGGTGAATCAATAATCATTTCTTGCTTGGCACAATTATATAATCACAATCAACGAAATCTAATCAAAGAGTGTGACTTAGAATACAGTCACAGTCCTGGTCCTCAGTTTGAAGCAGTGGCTATATCGGACCAAATCACAGCTCTTAGACTAAACAGAAAATACAGGAAGTGAAATGTCAACAAAGGTGTCTTTGGATGTGTCAAAAAAAAATAATTCAAAATATTTACAAAACAGAGATAAAACGGAGAAATTAAACCGGGGTTGAAGTGAAATGGCATGTTGTGTTCTGGTCAGATTATTATTTTAAACTTTTGTACTTGGGTTGTGCCTTCCTATAAAAAAGTGACAAGCACAAGCATGATACTGTCATTTCAGAATTCACAGACTCGTTAAGAGAGAGTGGTAAAATAAAAATACTTGGATTTTTGAGAAGAATGGACAAACAAGATTAAATATATGTCAAGATCTTATTGCGTTTTCATAACCCCATTTTAGCTCCCCAAACTCAACCCCGCTCTCCGCTCTGTTCTGTATTGGCCCCTTTGAATGGCTAAAACACGCCATGGAAAACCTTCATCAGAACAACTCAATGGGAGCGAGAAGCAGCAGCCTCAAGCAGGTCCTCTAAAGACTCCGACGACTCTGCGTTCGCCTCCTCCGTGTCGTCCAGGCGCTTCTTTTTGGCGGTGAACTTGCTCGGCGGAGGCGCGTCTTCCTGAGTCAGCTCTTTGGCCAGGATGTTAGTCACCGCGTGGCCGGCTCGTCTGTGGTTGGCTGTAGGAAAAACGATACAGAAAAACTATTGGCATTCGCGATTTAAGTAAAAAATGCAAAAACACACAAAACATATTCAATACTCAATATGTCACCGCTGGTCACATGTTGAAATGTCATTCCCATGCAGGACACACGATTATCCAGCATCAACGTACACCGTGGCACGAAACGAGGCTCAAAAATATTCCATGCATGATATGGTCAAATCTGGAGAAAAGTCACTACTAATGAATAATGAGCTTTAAGGACATTTACCGTATTCACATTTATGGACATTGGTCGTCCCCCTCCCTATGGACCAATGGCTTCTATATGTTTGTTATTATTGTAATTCAAACTTCTCGATTGAGGATTTCTGTTGAGGATTTGACAATTTTGTTAAGTCCTCCGAGATGACTGCTGTTGAGATTTAAGGCCAAACAACAAAAATTGAATTGAATTAACCTATGTATTGTTTATAGGACTTGTCTCTTATGCTGCTCAAATATCTAAAGACACATACACTCCCACCAAATATTGTGGTAATTAAGACGGGTACAAAACCAAACAGTTTACGTGAATGAGTCTGGTGTGTGTGCGCATGTGTGCGTGTGTGAGAATGGTACATAAAGGTTGTCTCGCTTCTGTCAGTGTGCCCCAGGGCAGCTGTGGCGACAGTAGTACTTTATCACTACTGTGTATGGGGTGAATGAATACATGTGAAGCATCGTTGAGTGTCTAAAAAAGCGCTATATGAAACCGATGCATTTTTACACGTGGCTCAGATGAAGGTTATAAAACACAAAGCACAAGAGGGACAATACTTTGCATAATGACGAAAAGTCCTACGAGCCGACTGCTCTTGTTGATTTAGGGCTGTAAAAACAAACAGCTAATTTGAATGGAATTGAGGTGAGTTGATGTCAGATTAGGCCTGCTCTGCTCTGCTCTTGACAGAAGCGCAGGAATGAGAGGGAAAAGACGGGCGTGGCAACAAGTAAAGATCAAACGGAGAAATGGGAGAATGGCAAAAGTGATGGGAAACTATGTAGGATCAGAGTGTGGTGAATCATGCAGTGGGAGGATTAGGTAAGCTGCATCAGAAGGAGGACAAGTACGGCGAGAGAGAGAAAGGGAAAGTGGAGAGCACAAAGTGTGTGCCCTCAGGATTCTGTCCTAATACCTCTACCTCCTTCAAACAACGCTCTCGCTCTCTCCTCCTACGCCATTTCCCTCCCTCTCTCCATTCGCGGTGTGCAAGGACAGCTGTGCCGCGGCCGCCATTTTGAATTATATAGGTCAGTGGGAGATTGTGTGTTCGCTCTTATCCTCCTGGAGGTTAGGAATGCTGGAGACGCAGATGCAGCTGTGACATGAATGCATTAATGTGACGCACACGTATTCCATTTAGAAGCAGCGTTCAAACATGTGCGAGGGGCGACGAAGAGAAATCTGTGTTCATACGATGCAAACCCGCCTCAAATGCATGCAAATGATCTCACACACACACACACGCACAGAGGAAGCCACTTCTCTGGTGGAGGCGACTTCACCTCTGTTAGCATTTACTATAGTAAATGCTATGTTTCGTGTGAGTGACTGCCCAATAACCTGCTATGTTTCATCCACAATTTGGAATCCTTGGGTCAAATTGATCCACCACAGTAATTCAATTTTTTTTAACTTTTATCTTGACCAACCCTGGGTCATTCAGCTCCTTTAAGACTAATTTAGGGTATTTCTGTTCAACTTTTAATCATCTGTGGCGAGTCAAATTTAGAGGACAGTGCCATAAGTGAAGCTTCCAGGTCGCATCTATGGAAACGTGACTTGCATAAACAACAAAATTGAAGCACGCCTGAACAATAATGGTTGTAATGTAATCAAGGCAAAAAGTACTTGTTGAATAGGAGGAACATAGCAGGCAAAAGTAGCAGACACTTTACCACAACAGGAACAAAGTGCAGGCAACAAAACACACAAAAAACACACTTTGAAATAAAATAACACAGACGATGCAAGAACAGACCATGGCCACACATGTTTCCAATGAGTTATATCAAAATACAAAATAAACACTGACAAAAAAAATTTACTTGTTTATTTAAATTATGTCCTAGTTTTTGTTCATAACTCAATGACAGGTGTGGATGAGGCCAAAGTTACCCATCAGGTCTCCAGAATGAGCTGTGACAAAGACACAATAGACTCTGGGGGAGAGAGGGGGAGAGGGGAGAGAGATTAAGAGGAGTTCACAGATCAACTCAGCACAAGTGTAACATTATCACCAGACGTGTAAACCCTCTCACTGTTCAACACACTCTCCACAACTCAGTCCACCTTAAGACGCCGGTTATAAAGTTCTGTCACTCAGGCCTTACAGGATCTGTGCACGGTGTCTTTCATGTTTGAGACAGGTTTTTAATGTTTTTTATTGTGGATTGCCCTTGAGAGGGTTGTTTTTTATTTGTTGGCAACTAAAGTTCACTGCACTTTACATGGGTAGATGTTTACAATTTGGCGAGATGGCTAGACCATCTCTGCTGCTGTGGCCCGTCCTGTTCCACCCAGGGGCTGCACCGCCTCTGCTGCTGTGACCTGAAGTGCTGTTTCTTATCATTACTATTACTATTTTTAGCTTTTAGGAATTATCAATTTATTTGTTTGTTTTGTTTGTGTGGATGGATGTGTTTTTGCTGCTACTGGACACCTGCATTCCTCCTACGGGGAGCAATAAAGTATCTATTTATCTATCTATTTAGTTCAGGAACAAAGGGCCGAGAGCCAAAGCAATTTAATTATATATATATATATACACACGTTTTAAAGGATTGCCGTTAGATGTAATGCTGCTGAGGCTGGAGAGGGAGGCAGCCATGTTTTATGGCATGTTTTAAGAGCAGCTGCTGTATAGAACAGGTACAACATAATGGTGGGGTTTACTACTGAAAGCATGTTCAGTTTAGCAGAGAGAGTATCGCCATCTTCAGGCTGCACAGTAGAACTGCAGCTGTGCGATCAGGGCACTGTGGGAAAGTCTGACGTCATAACCTTATTTTGGTTATGTGGAGGTATTTGAAGCTCTACTGGTGTCAGTGTGAGCCCTGGTCGTCCTTTATCGTCCCATGGCATTAATCATGCATGTAGTCAGGGATGTGATGGATGTGGTCTGTGGGTGGAACATTTGTGGGAGCACTTCTTTGGTTCAGAGCCTTTCTTCAGAGCAGACGGTCAGCAGGGACAGCGTGTGCCTCTATTGTTCCCCTCTCCTTTATTTCAGAGCCATGTTGTGATTGGAGCTTTGTCCACTCTTTTAGTAGAGGTCACGACCCAGCAGATGGGTCTTTTGGCTGCCATTAGCACGTCATACCTCCACACAGCCACATGTGGCTTCAAAGCCTGCATTGTGCCCAATCAGGCTAATTAATGCACAGCATTAAAGGGATTAAAGAACACAGAGAGAGGGGGAAATCACATTTAACAACAGATTTTCTGAACATGCCTCTGAGTGTTTAATCCTGAGTGAATTCCATCCAAAGTATTGGAATGCAGCATCAATCTGACTCAGTAATGACACGAGAGCATCTGCCAAGTGTTTTGTCTGCACTGTCACCATGACGTCGCAATGACGCAGCCTGTTCCCTCAGACTGAGGCAGGGGAAAGGGCAGGGGATGTAGGAGCTGAGGCTCGTGGAGCTGCATTCAGTCTAGTCGCTGCGACACAATGAGCAGGACAATGCTCTCAACAGGACAAGTGTCTTTAAAGCAGCGGGGGATCCTAGTGGCAACACTACATTTATTTGTAAACATTTGTTAGTTTATTTTTTGGTAAGAGTGAATTCAAACATGTAATGTATGTGTTCATCTTTAGTTAATGGTGAAGCTGCAGCTGTTGGAGAGAAGGTGAAACATGAGGTACTTGTTGATAAACAGATGCCCATAATTTCCTTGAGGTGGTGAAGTTTTCTTCCTCATTCCAAAGTTATGAATATAGTAGAAATCCTGTTGAAGCGTCTCATAAAGGTGGCATTTCAACTCCACTTAAGATTACCCTTTTGTTGTCACACATTTATTTACAACAATTAATGCACAAAACCTGTAGAATACTGATAATTAAACATGATAAGAGTTTAAGATTTTAGCACTGACATAATGTCCCTCTAATCACCATCATTTAGTCACCCACTATTCATACTGAGGCATGTGATGGTGCGGAGGAAACCCACCCAAATACGAAGCATGAAAACTCTGTCATTGATCTCCTGACGGACACATTTCTGTGCAAACAAACAGATGTCAAATGAGCGCCATACTTAAGGGTTTCGTTTAAATATTTACAGTGTATATTTTCTGGAATGATTCTTCCCAGCAGCTAGCATTAGCAGCTCAAGTGAGGCTATGTCATGGGCACAGAGCTGCAGGACTTCTCAGAGACAGACTTTTAGAGCTAAGAAAAGTTTTATTAGCAGCAGATAATGGAAAGTTTATTGCCTTCTAAAGTGCATGGGACGTGATGATTGTCCCTTATTTATATATGTTTGAGTTGAATAACACTTGTGGTCAATGTTTACAGTATCCAGTTCTATTAAAAATCTTTACTTAAAGTTGTCAGTACAAACAATTCTTTCTAAAATGTAGAGACATGTGTCATTTCTGCATTGAAGAATTACTGTTTTGTTTGATACATTATATGAACTTCAGCTTGTATTTTGCATATTAAACCATCAAAAAACTAGGAAAGTATTTATAGTTACTTTGTACTCACTATTAATGCTATTATGTTGAAAAACGTTTAAAAAAAAGTGTATGGGGTAGAAATGGCATCATACAGCGAGACACAAAAATGCTGCAAGTTGTATGGAAAACATGATTCACAATGAGAAACGCCACAAACAATTGAAACTACAGTGATGTGGACGGGGTATTAGTGGCCACAGTGGGGCCTGAAAACACCCAGAAACAAAAGCCAGTCAGCACAAAGAGCGCCAACTCTGCTATTTTCAGAGCGCTGATTAAACTACTAAACAACTCACACAAAAGACCAACATTGTGTGGCAGAGAGGCGGGGAGTTAGAATGATCCTGACGTACAGCGTTTTATATAACATCGAAACATTAAAAAGGAGCTGAAAATGTGCAGATAAATCGCTCCTTCACACAAACAGGAAATCCTTAAAATGAAAAAAATCAGGGGCAGTGAGAGGACAGAGTGGAAAAGCTGAGCACAGTGAGAGCGGTGCTTTTCTCCCCCTCTTCAGCGAAAGCCTTCTCCAGAACAAATCTTTTCATATTCACTCATGAACACATGGTTTGGTATTTCCTGTGCGGAGTGTGAGGCGGCCTGGCTCCAAAACCGACAAACACCGGAGTGAGGCCCCTGTTACATACTTTTCTTGTCTATGCCTTGTTACAGCTGGCGAAGTTGAACGTTTCTGTCCATATGACCACATTATTATTCCATGGAACTGTCTCCAACTTTTCTAGTCTATATAAATATTGAGTTATACGGACATCGTGCGCCAGACAGACGACAACAATGTTCTTTTGGAAACGCTGAAAACGAAGAAATCTGTGGAGATTTAGTTTTCACCAAATGGATCTCTGAACAAAAGAAAGTCTTCCCCCTGGACATGGTCTTTACACAGCGACTAGTGCTGCAACACATCTGGCTTCTATTGAGGGGGATTGGGTTGCACCACTGCCCTGTTATGTGCGAATGTTGAACCCACACACACACACACACACTTTGCTCCCTCCCTCTCTCGAAAATGGGCACAGTGCACTTCCCGCTCACAAGGCCAGACTACATACCAGTTCTTAAAGAGTCTCATGTTACAAAGTTACTATCACTACTGACACATTCTTCCAGGTTAAGCTTCACGGGTTACTGCTTTAAACGCCAAATGCGATTTACAAGTCCATGGAGCTAATAACTTTCAAACTAGCCTTTACATGGATAACAGGACGCTAAACCTTGAGTAAACTCGTAACTTAAACGCAGCATCAAAGAGGATCAAACCAAATTATCTATATAAGTTCTGAAGTAAGACTAAACCAGAACACGAGTTCTGTTTTTGTCTGAACTAATATGTGTCTGAAGTTATATATGTAAGTATTTGTAGTTTTAATGAGGAAAACAAACTTCAAACTGAGCCACGTTGAATATAATTTGGAATATTTGTGGTTTCAGTTGCTCTAGTTTGAATACTTTGATGTTTTTATTCTGCCTCCCTTCCACTGGCAACCCACTTCCTCCGAAAAGGGCAACAGATGGATCAAAGATAAGATACACTACTATCAATCTAGCCCGGGGAAAGTAGAGTGAATTTAATGAGTAATAACTTTTAGAAATCTGATCTTTGTGAAAACAATAGTTGCCCTGTCACTGGACTGTTTTTGTTAACTCGAGGGCTAAGGGCAAAAAGTCTTCAGCTCCTGAGAGTTTAGGTTGCAGTACTTAAGCTTGTTAAACCCTATCCAGTTATTCTAATAGATCCAGGGTAATTACCTGCTTGTCTGGGCCCCCTCTTCCTCCTGAAAGCAGCTCCGGACTGTAGCGCCTCCAACAGGCCGTCCATGATGCCGGTCTCGTCTCCCTCTGCAAACACAGCACACATGTCATCAATCACAAACACAAAATCAAACCGACGTGGCCGCTCCGAGCTGCTATTTATATGGCCGTGTTATTTTAAAATCACCACTTCTGGTCCGTGTCAGTCTTTTCCAGTCCACAGACATAACTTGATGACTGTGTCCTCGTCTCCATGGCGCCAAAACAAAAGTGATTTGGAGTGTTATTTACTTGCCACGTGGCTGCGTTAGATAATCAGCTGAATTAACCCAGATAGGCAGCGACCCACTTCGGCTGGGATCGGCGCTTAGGGGCAGCACTCATTCACTTTGCTCTGACGCCCGCGCTGCTTCTCCCAAAGGAAATTAATGAATGAATGTTTGGGGCTCCATAATTGCCCATCGATTAGAGAAAAAGGCCCAGGAATTACGTAAGGCTGAAAATATATGACCAAAAATGCACATATTTTGCTGTTTTAAATGTCTATGTGAAGTTGCATTGTGTATGAACTGTGCTATAGAAATACATTTTGATTTATTGATAAAAGTGAAGAGAAAATATCATCAAGTCAGGATCTCTGTGGGAGGCTGTGGACCTCCCCGGTTGATCCTTCGTACCATTTTACAAAGTGTGTTTACTTAAGACATGGACTACCTTTTCCACTGTGCCTCATACACAGCAATGAAGTGCAGACAAATATACAGAGTAGTTTTAAATCAGTTAAACGGAGACAAAAAAAAACATTCTTTGTGTACAAAATGTTATAAAATGCTATGTCTTCACTTATATAAAACTCAAAAGACAATAAGTGCACAAAAATGCAATTATCCAGCAAGCTTAAACATGAAATCAACAAAGAAGGAAACGGCGACTTGCAGACAAAGTAAGTAACAGGAGCCTACACCTCTGAGGGTCCTCTTCAGAGTAATTCAACAAAGTTTTGCCTCAACTTACTATCTAATTATTGTATTGTGTGGTTTCTATAGAAACTACCTCCACTTTAACATTTTAAATTTAAAATCCTGAATCTTAAAACATGTTTTGGTGAAATGTAAAATGGACTATAAACAATTACAAGGGTATAGTGTGTGAGTCAAAAGTCATTTTGAATACATTGATGAATATAGCCCAAGAAAATATTAAAACTCGGGTACCTAACCTGGCTCTCAAAATAGTTGGTTTTATCACCACTTTTCAGATGCTTATACGAGTCCTGACTAGAACCAGGAAGTACGACCACATTAGTCCAGTCCTCAGGTCTCTGCACTGGCTTCCTGTGGCTCAGAGAATAGACTTTAACAGCTCTGCTTGTGTACAAGTCTCTCCATAGCCTCGCACCAAAATATATTAGTGACATGTTAGTCCCATATGAACCAGCCCGGACTCTGAGGAGCACAGGGACTGGACTCCTGTTAGTGCCCAGAGTCAGAACTAAACATGGGGAGGCTGCTTTTCAGATTCATGCTGCTAAAATCTGGAACAGTCTTCCTGAAGATGTGAGACAGGCCTCCTCTCTGACAATGTTTAAAACCAGGTTAAAAACAGTGCTGTTTAGCTGTGCATACAACTGAGGGATTTTATATTTTTAATCTTTCTTTTTAATGTTCTGTGATTGTTTATGTTTTTAATGCTTTCTTATTTTGTTCAGCACTTTGAATTGCCTTGTGTTTGAATTGTGCTATAAAAATAAACTTGCCTTGGCTTGCCTTATATGTTTGGCCTCTGTGACATCTTTAAAGCCACTTTTTCAGCCAGAAAGGTGAAGAAGAAAGGACCACCCTCAGTCAGCCATCGACCCAAAGCGTCAAATAGTGACTCACACGGGTCTTTATACAAGTATGTGGAAGATACAAGATTTTTAATCAGATGAAGACCACCTTTTCTGGTCTAATTTTTACGTGTACTTTATAGAGATTTATTTTGAAACAAACAATGTATGTAATGCTTATTAAACAAAAAAAGGTACCCTAGCTTTAAATACAGCTGTAACTGCAAGCCAAATGAATGATGAATGTACTAAATTCTTTCATAATTTGATATTTTGTATTTTTGCTTCTCTGATAGATCTTGTTTCTGCTTGAGTTGTAAATCAGTGGCCAGGCTTTGGTCTTCGGTGTAAGTGGCATGAGGAAAGTATACGAGGTGTCATGGAGGCTTTGTGGGGTAAGAATGAGTGTGGTGGCTGAGCTCTGGGGCAGATGGTTTTCATTATTTCCCTGTGAGCCTCCGCACAGACAGAAGTGTGGGGGTTACAGGGTTATATTGTCACTGAGTAGCCTCCGCAGCACAAGCATCGTCCTCGCGAACACAAACATGCAGCATATATTTAATCCTGAAAGTTAAGCCATGGAGCAGATGGTGTGCGGTCACGCCTCTCACGCCACAGAGCACACTCGCAAAATCTTCCACGGCTCAAATACGCCCCTAGTCATCCGATTCTGGTACTGTGAGATGGCAATAAATAATCTAGGGCATGTTTTCAGTGTGGGGAAAACACATCTGGCACAATTCCACTACAACTAATCACATGGTGCGCTTAAACCGCTGGAGTTAGCACAGAGACACAGAAACCTAGTTGAATGAAAGTGCTGGAAGCCAAAGAGAGACCCGACAATGACCGCACTGTGAGTTACAGGACATATCGAACTGTCTAAAATAGAACCTCTGTTATGTTCAGCGTGAGAAATACTCTGCTTGTTTTGGATAAAAACCTTCTGAAGTTAAGAATAACTTTATCACATGCTGATGATTATAGCAACTTCATAGCTTCAGGAAAAGCCTCTAAATACCATGCTTTGTTATTTTCAAAGATGTGAAAGACCAGGCTTTCAAACCACAAAATATAGCGTGTAATAAAATCACTCTAACTAATTCTCATTTTGGGTCAATCACGAGTACTAATACACCTCTGTCACATCTTTATCAGACAGAAAAGGGAAAGAGAAACAACCAATCTTCTACCAGCCCAAAGAGCGATGCAGTCTATTCCTGTTGGGTAACTTCTATTTTTCATGAATAATATATTAAATTTGTCCCAAGCTTTAAGTGAAACAATAGTTTTGGGATCACATAGAAACAATTCATTCATATTTATCTATTAATTAGTATTAACAATGATAGGATTTTATTATTTGCACGTTTTGTCTTTATTCTGGTAAACTATTTTTCTAGAGCCTGTTGATCCTACATTAGAATGGATGCCTGCTTTATAGCTGACACAAAAATAAATACATGGAGGAAGTAGAAGAGTAAGCGACGTACAGAATGATAATATTAACCAATTAACTAAACAAACTAATTATTACTTCATTACTTACAGGTTAAAACTTCATATCAAAGTTCTCAGTAAAACATTTTACCAGGTTACACGACATTTCAGAGCTTAGGCTGAAGGAATCCAATAAAAGGAGACAGATTAATTAGTGTAAAAGGATTAGACTAAGAGCATTTAAAGATGGCTCTATTAATCCAATCTAACAGCAAGGCTCCCAACGACTTCTTGTGAATGGCTGTTTACAACAACAACAACATAACGTTAGGATCTGAAACTGTACAGAAATATAAAAACTAGGTCAATTACCAAGAATGTGTATATATGTACTGCAGCTTTAATACATTGCTGCAGGATATCAGGGTCAGCAGCCGTGCGCCCTCACCAGTCTCCGCCTTTCTCCTCTCTCCATCACTCCACTAAGAGCACACTCTGTTAAATCCCCCTGAGAGCATCTGCTGCTTGCTCCACATCTCACAAACCCTCCCCCCACACACAGCGCTTGCCCTACAAACCCAAACATGGAGCAAGAGCACCCCTAGTGGCCGTTCCCAGCCCAACCATACTGCGGCTGAGTCCTCCCTACCAGACACACACCCTTTTCCCACACCAGGAGCGGAGTCGTCTTAACAGAGAGTAGCGACATCTAGCTGCGGCATGTGGAAAGGCTCTCACTCTGCTGTGTCAGTAAATATTATGTCTGTGAGGCATATGATCAACTCTTTTCAGCACATAGGGGATAATTAAAGTGACTCAACGGGAGTGGGTGACTGTGGGGACGAGGGAGGGAAGGGAGTGGCACAATACTGTAAATAGTCAAAAAACAAAACTTGAATGGGAAAAGTTGAACAATACAGACTTTCAATTAAAGGTTTTTAAGTGCAGGCAAATGTCCTTAACAAAGACTCAATGGTTTTATAACTAACTACGCTCACATGCCGAGCTCACTGATGTGATATGTGGGGCCGGATGGGGTGAGTGTGGCTGACTGTCCAAGTCATGCAGGAATGCCAAGGCCAGGAAACACAAACAACTGCTGCCTTTCCACGCCTCAAACATGTGATGGAGTGTGATAGAAGTGGGAACAGTAGCCCACAGTAGATATATAATGTGCCAGTGAGAAGCCTTGCAATAACAACAAGATAAGATAAGTGTTGAAAGCAGCATAGGATGTATTCAAAACAGCCTTTGTGCACTGGCCATGGAGTATGGACGTTAAACAAATGCAGGTCCGGGTCTACTACTTTTGTGTATGGGAAAATTTAAATGGGGGTTGTCGAATAACCCCAGGCAGTCAAATATGCCACCTGTATGCAAATGGCTTCCAGCGCAGCAACGTCTGTAAACATCAAACTTCAGCATGAAATCATGAAATCTAAACTACTTTTGTACAGCTTCAGCTATACTTTGCTGCGGGGAGAGATTTGGACTTGAGACCATTAAGTGCCCTTTAAATAAAAGAGGAGAAAAAGGAGAGGAGGCCAGCTGGAACATGGAGCCCAGGCACAAAAGGCCAAAGAACTTTGTAAAACTATCACAAACAAGACGCACAAAGAACCTAATCCCAGTTGCACAAACACACTTTTGGAAAAACTTATTCTGCTTCTGAAGCGACTGAAAAGTGAAGGGAAAAGAAAACAACCCCATGGTTTTCCGAACACCCACGCAAAGTAATGTAGCTGTGGCAAATTTGGACTGTGGAGGAGTCCCAAGAGAGCCCAAGTGGAGCCAGAAAGAAAAAGGAATGTGCTAAAGTAGGTCAGAGTCTGTGGGGGAAAAGTTTTATGTCTTTAGGCTGCATTGAATATGGGGATAAGAGCTGCTTAATGTGCGAAAAGCAGTTTCACTTTGCCACCCAGCTTAAGATAGGAACCATGCTTTTGGGGAGATTTTGCCCTTTTTTAGTTTCTCCTTTAAAGTCACAAAATCCCTCATGTACGTCTGGAGTGAAAAGAGGTCAGGGAGTTTTTTGAATCCCTTCTCAGAAGCTACATTGTTGTTGTTCTGCTCAAAGCATGGGTCATCAGCATTTGATTAACTCTGGGTCATAAATCCTGCTGACTTTTTCCTTCATACACACACATCCTCGGCACACAGATCCACTGCAATACTGTGGACTGTGACTGCCCCCAACAGGCCTGAGCGGGGAATGCAGAGAGAGTGTGTGAACAAGAAGCAGGGTTAAATGCAGAGCCATACTGACCAGCGTTAATGTCCAGGAGCTGGCTCCTCTTCAGCTTCTCCTCCTTCTCCTTCTCTGCCTTTTCTCTCGCCAACTTGGCTCTTTTTATCTTCTCTTCAGCCTCCTTTCTCTTCTGGTTCTCCTTTACTGCTTGCTGCAAGTACAACATGAAAGCATTTTACATGTATTATCCTGGTTTCCAAATGTAATAATAATATAATAATAATAATATTATTAATAATAATAAAATGTAATAAAGCTGTAGTACCAACTTTTATTTATGTTTTAAAAATACATGTAATTTGTCCCAGCAGAATGATTTGTTCTCAATATGTCACTTAAACAAGACTCATACAACAACATTGAGCCACCTTAATAGAAAATGTGTTATCTTTTGCATTCGGAAAGCTGATTGGCCGAGTAAGGGCTGGTCCTCGCTTTTTCACTGAAAATGCTGATCTAAAGATGTGACAGAGGCCAAAAAAACAAAGCTAGCAAATTATTTGAGGGATAGGAAGAAGTGACATGGGTTTTATTAGCTTTCAAAAGGTACCCAGTTTAATAAGGGTTTGTATAGATGTTCTTGCTTGTTCTTATTGCCTAAAAACATTGTATTGTAAATTAAATCAGAGTCAGGTGGCCAACGCTCCAGCAGAAAAGATGGCTCAGTACAAGAATAATAGCATAGGATTACAAAGAGCCTGTGTATACGAGCCCACAGCATGACTTTGTGCTGTTGTCAAGCCTCAGGTAATGTGTTCTGTAAAAATAGGTTACCGCTTATAATTCTTTGTTGTGACTAAACAAAGACAGTTGTACCTTTGATATGCTGTTTCTTTCATCTATTATGCCTTTCTTTTCCACTGCACCTGCCTAGAGATTTATCCTAAAGTAGCAAGCTGTGCACCTGTACAATATCGCTTACCTGGAACATGTGGATAAATGTTTTGAGGTCTCCAAAGAAATCCTCCACAGATACTTTACTGGGGTTGAACACAAAATAATTGCCCAGGTTTGTGTACTGTATCTCCATGTTCTTGTGCATCAGGTCCAGTTTCTCATATTGCTCCTGAGCAGTGACGACAAAACTGTGAATCCAAAACGTTAAGGACAATGCAGCAGTGTATGTAGTTGTGTATAGTTCAAAGCATGTGTAATAACAGTGATGCAAATGTGAAGGATATGGACAACTTCTCAACAAACAAGTCCTTTTCACTTTGAGGCGGAGGGAACGTCTCGAGGTCTTTCTGGAGGTTTTTGATCTGGCGACCCATTAGTTCCAGGTTCTTCTGAAGGGTCTCCGCAGATACTGAGGGGAAAATAACAAAATAAAGGTGAAAAAATATATATTTAAAACATATTTAGAAAATGCAACGCGAGACATAAGGCCTTAAGTGAAACATTAGAGCAGTGGTTTTCAACTGGTGGATCACAGGATAATTTTCTTTAAGCCACATTTTTTAATTCTTCACTCCAATAAAGGAAATTCAGAAAGGAAAAAAAAACAACCCTAAAATAATATATTCATTTTAAAAAGTAAATTTGTCTTTGAGTTTATAACTTGTCAATATTGTGTGAAGACAAAAAGCATGTTTTTGCATCATAGTTCCTTGATGCCAGAGTCTGATCCTGTCCTTTTGCTCATCATTTTATAGTTTGTTTATTAAATTACACAAAACAATAATCAGAAAAAGTATGACCCTTGAAGACGGACTCTTATACCTGCGCCTGTTTTTGTCATTATTGGATTTCCTGTGATAGAACTGTTTCTTTCTTTCCTTAATGCTCAAGAACATTTATATGGTATGGAACACAAGTTGCAAAACAAAACATTAAAGCAATACATCACGTTAACAAAGGAGTGTGATTTTCTTTTGCATTGATGGGTAATTGATAATACTGAGGGAGATCTGTCTCTATGTGCAACAACTTGTAAACAGTGAACATTGTGAAACTTATCACCAATATGATTACCTGTGCAAAGATCTCTGACCTGTTTGATTGACAGCTTTGATTTAGGACTATACAAAAATACATCAAATTGAATTCTTATTTGGGTCTTGGCGTTATGTGTTTAAGGTGGGTCGAGAGCAGTTGAGAACCACTGCATTACAGGACATTATTCTCCAAAAGGCCATAACGTTGGGTAGTTATACTGGACCCGCACCTCGGCTCGCCTTCTCTACGTGGATGAGCTCCTCTGGAAAACCCATCACCTCCGGATACTGCTCATGACACACTTCGGCCAAGAAATGCAGCAGCGTCAGCTTAAGGTCTGCAGATTTAGTATCCCGTAACTACACAGAGAAAAGAAGTTGAAATCTAGAGTATACAGATAACATAGTTGCCGTCTCCACTCGCTGTGTTCACCTTGCAGAGATAGGAGATGGAGAAACCGAATGCTTTGCCGTTGCGGGAGCCGGAGTTCATGTAGTTGCCCACGAGGAGAATGATCTGGAGGAGGGTGGAGAAAGACTGGCTTTTGGTCAGTTCCTCGCAGGCCGCTGTCACAGACACCACGTCAGGCTTGATGTTGTTGAGCTGCTCTTCGAACTGTATCCTGAATTGAATGGCCTGGAGTCGAGTCGTGAGCTTTTTTACACTGGACATCTGTGAATATAAACAGAAATACAAGAATGTGAGCAGTATTCTACTGAAATGTCATGAAATATAAAAGGGTAACCACACACGTTTGGATTTTAACAAGGGAAAAAAACGTTGTAAGTTTTAATTTGCACTTTGAACTGAATCCTCACTGGAAAAGTAACACACAATGCTTCAGTACTGTGAGAGCTTGTGGACACCGAGTGACAGGATGTGTGGTCCAGGGCGACTGAAGGGGGTTTTGTCCATTACTCATATCCTCCTCCACTGAACAAGGCCCTCTGTGTTTTACAGCCTGATGTATAAAATAGTGCATCAATTATAGCTCTGGGTCATTTACAATTTGACTTGGTTGATTGGATTGGTTGCATATTTAGTCTTTATGGAGTCAGCTGAGAGTAGCAGCTCCTCTCTATCCTTACCACAACTCCGAACTGCTCAGACTCTGCCAAATCATCGTATTCGTCTTTCATCTCACCCAGGACGCTCAGCTGCTCTGGGCTTGGAAGCTGCTTGATCAGGTTCTACGTGACAAAAAAAACCAAGAACAAACATTTGATTACCGGCAATAATGAGGAGGGCATTACAAATTATTTGTATACATGTTTTAGTTCTTTTTTTCTTTATTGTAATTGTATTTGATCTTTGGAAACATGTAACTTAAGTTCTAATGTACATAATGACAGACGAAATATACTACTACTACTGACTACTACAAGATGTCAATATTATTATATAAAACGGATCAGGGACAAATAAATATCATTTTACATCTTTAAGTTGTGGGACATAAACCCCACAACAAATAAATGTTCATCCGAGTCACTACTTCATCCCGCTATTGACTTCTATGTCTTTGTTATAATTGAATTTCCTATTTTCAAATGGTTTGATTCTCTATTCAGTTGTTGAGGAATCAATAACTGATCAAAGTCCTCCTGGACGACTATTGTACTGTTTGATTTAGGGCAATACAAAAGTGAATTAAATTTGGGTTGAGTGAGGAAAGTGGTACCCTCTAAAGCTGAGAGGCCAAAAACCATGCATGTGAGAAATTATGATAGATCCACTGTTTTGAATTCAATTTAATTAAATTCAATTTCTTCTTCTGTAGCCCAAATCCCAACATTAGTTATCTTCGAGGACTTAACAAAACTGTTGAATTCGCCAACACATAGGTATTGGTCCATAGGGAGTTGACCAAGTTGTTGTAGAATATTAGTGTCCTGGATTAACACCACAGTCCTTTTAGTTACCCCCAATAACAGTCTAACAGACCCTACTGAAAGTGAGGAACCAGTGAGATGGATATTTTGATCATTTATAAATATTGAAGGTTGGTCACCTGAGCTGAATCGAGTACAGTACATCTTTAAGTAACCAGTGAGTTATACCTGAACCAAGGACTCGGTGAGAACCTTTTCATTCACTTCCAGGACTGCATTCTTGATCTCTTCATACGGAAGACGAAACGATCCCAGGAAGATGGCTATAAAACAGAATCACGGTGCTTTTAACAAAACTTTAGAACACCTAATTTTAAGTCATGAAATAACACAACTCTGCACGTACAAAGATTCTGAGCAGCCTTCCCATCCAAGACTTTTAACTCCTTGACTTTCTTCTTTTGCGCGTTCTTCTTGTCATCTCCGCCATCCTGCATTTGTTTGGCTAAAAAGAGTAAAAATAGAGAAACATATCAGAGATTTTGAACAAATCATATCAAATATATATATGCAAGGATATACACGGAACAGCCCATACATTGAGCCTAATGTACTTCAACAGTGCTGTAAATCACGGCGGTGGACAACAACATGGTATTGTTTGAGGACAGACAATGAGGGAAAGGGATGTGCTTTCCTCGCAGCTGCCATATGGTCCTCCACTCGTGTGCGAGGCCAGCTGCTGCGTTCAACATGTGTCTGTGCACTTTGTAAAGACAGTGTGAAGAACTGATTTGAGGACATGGTCTATTTCCCATCTCTGTACGCTCTCTGGTCAAACAGGGCTTTGTTTTAGTGAGAGGGGAATCTGTGGACAGTGTGTTAACAAGCCAAACTGAGCCCCTTATTTCACCACTTAGCCATTCATTCGGAGCACACACTCCACAATCAACAGGGGAGCTCAATAAGCTTCTTTGTGCGCCTCAGTGCAAACATGAACTATGTTGTCTACAACTGGAACTCTCTTAATTCAGGGGTTTGCAAACTTATGCAAATTAGAGACAATAGGGTCCACAAAGAGGGTTATGTAGAGACAGTTTTATAGAATAAGTTTATGACAGTGACAGCCTGGCACAGTGTCATCCTGGTGTGTTATACAGCATTAGAAAGGTAGAATGGATCTTTTGGGATACTTTTGATGCAGCTATGGTCACACTGAGCTTGTCATTACGACAGTCTGCAGAAGTCAGTGATTTTCCACTTTATGTTTTGGTTATCTGAAGGTCGACGAACACATTTATTGGCGCTGTGGCAGATGCTAAGAGGAGCGTCCTTTATTTGTCTGGTTTAAAATCACAAGCACAATGAAAGTCCCTGCTCGTGTCTTCTTACCAACAATAAAATGTATTCTGCTGTGACACGAACCCAGACCTCTTTTGTCATTTTCTTCAGTAGTAAAAGGTGGCAAATACGTAATAACAATTCGCTATTAGATTACAAAAATTGTACAAACAAAACTAATGTTGGTTATTTTTTTAACAGAATCTTGTAAAAGTAAAATGTTAACAAATAAAACCCCCCACATGCTGTCGTTACATTTCCATCTTTGCAAACTATCACTGACTAAGAAAGCCAAATTGAAGACTGGTCAAAATTGTCTGGTTTGAAAGTTAGGTGCCGCAGCTTTAAAATGAGGTTTGAAGCATATTCTACCAAATAAATTAAGAACCAATGTTCACTGAAATGTGCTTTTCATCTAGTTCCTTGTATATTTAAAAACCCTTCTGTTGTCCTTGGGTCAAAATGACCTGTCACAGTGAAAGTAGAAAAAAAATAGCCTAAAAACGAAATAGTCAAAAGTCCAGGCAAGAACGTGGAATTGCTATAATCCCCAAAGAGTAATCTGGAATATACATTACTATGACCCGATCATTAACACTATTGTACAGTGTGTCATAATCACAGCACACTGAGGGGCAAACAGGAAAGCCAAACAGGAAGCACATCAGCACAAAGTTAACCTATCTGGAACATCTGTGAGGAAACAACACGGCATCTTCACTCAGGACGGTACAAGCCCCACGGGAAGCATCCACAAGTTAAAATAAACAAGTGGAAATGGAACAGAGGACTCCCGCTGTGAATTAGATAAACAAAGCAAAAAGGAGATGGAAATGGCAAGGTGGATATTGTTGTGTTTTAGTGAAATAACCATACTGTTGAAAAAGAGTGAAGAGGTTGTTCTATATGGCTTTCACAAAATGGCAAGAGATCAGGGCTTTACTGTCAGAGCAACTTCAGTCATGACTAGTAAACCTCTCTGGATTGGCATCAAATTGACATGTACAATGCTTGCCGTGTCTTCATTCTGTCTAAAAATAAAACCTGAAACTTAAAAGGTCTGCAGGCATTTCTGCTAAAACCCATCTAAGTAGCTGTAATTTTCTTAGGCTATAAGACTGTACAACAGATATGTCTGAATTTAACATATGCACTATTGTTAGTCACATAATACATTAGAAACGTTTATATTTTATGTACTTATGTGTTTGTATGGATGTCTTTCTGCTGCTAGACAATTGATTTTCTCCTATCACTAAATATCTATTTTTCAAAAAGAATATACAGACAGCATGGACCTGTAAACTGTGTGCCTGCTTAAATCTGGTTAGTGGGACATCCTGGAGCACCGTGTCAGTGGGTCAGCAGCCATGACTCTTAACATGCGATTGTGTGAGTGAGCATCTGTGGCGGCCAATCGGAGCGCTCACTGGCGTGTTGACATCATAGCTGATTCATAAAATGGGGTCTGGTGTACAGATTGTAAAATGGCTGCTCTCTGATTTCCCACATGCCAGCTCCATCCATTTATGAGCCGATGCTGCCTCTACTGGTGAATATGTGCATGTGCCTGACTTCACACTTAGTCATCGTGGGGGATGAAAGGGGATGACAGAGGCAGACGAGCCACAGCCACACATGGAAGCTTTGAGGAGAAGAGAAGATGGACAAACAAGATTTTTTTAATTTCTCCAGCTGTACTTTGTCAACTCCTGGCACAAATAGATGGCAGCAATTATTTAAAAAATAATCATTACCACTCATACTAGCACAAACACAGTTCATTTTCTGGGAAGCCCTACTCCCCCCTCTGTTATGCAAGCCAACAGCTGCCTGGCACTGAAATAAGATGAGGAAAGGGGGGGTCAAATGTGTGTGTGTGTGTGAGAGAGCATGTGTGTGTGAGACAGCGTGTGTGTGTGAGAGAGAGCATGTGTGTGTGTGTGTGTCATGAAACCAAATTCTTCCATTTCTGACTTCTGTTTTTAATTAGGAAAAGGACAAAAGAGACAGATGAAAGCAGTATTGAAAAAGGGGGAGACTTCACAGACTCATGAAGAGCCAAGTCATGCAGTGGTCCCTGTCAATATGTAACAGACTGTGCACAAAGAGTGGTCTGTGTCGGTCCAAAAACCCCCCCCCTCTCCCTTCTCTTCCCTTCCCTGCACACACTCCCCCGCACGTCTCTGCTGTTCTGTCTGGCCTTAAAAGGAGAAATAATGTGAACTGGAAAAGGTGATGGGTAGCCAGCCTTGTAGCGAGTGTAAAAGGAAAAAGTTAACAGAGGAGAAGTACACAAAGGAACACAATGACATGTACCTGTCAGCTTTCATCTCTGACCACAACAGGCAGCGCCCAAACTTTTCAAAGAGCGTCAGAAAAGAATAGTTGTACTTTTCTCTCACATTGTCACTTAGATGCCCACTTCCTGTTGCAGAGGCAGTTTATTTTTAACCCACTAAAAGCTTTCAGATGAGGAGCCCCATTGTACATGTGAAGCAGCACATGCTCACGGGCCCTCTGTTGGCCGAGTAGGAAAAAAAACATAATTTAATAATATAAACACTATTTTTTCTTCTGCTGCACACAAACAGCATTCCTGAGTGGACAAGATTAAATGGAGCAGAGGAGTTATGGTTTCAACATCAAGAAGCTAATGTTATGTGGAAAATCTCAGACATAAACAAAGCTAAAGTCAACATGTCATTATGAAGACCAGAATGACTCGAAGGAAACCAAACACAGTCCAAAGGAAAAACAACTTTAATTAAACTCAGAAGAAATTTTGATTGTAACAAAGTTATGGCCTTTAAAAGTAGTGTAGGTTGGATCCAGCAGAGCCCTCTTTGTCTAAAGTGTCCACAAAGCTGACAGACGGCCAGCTGTGTCCCTGGTCCTTTAAACTTTAAATGTCTGGTCTTCTGTCACTCTATAGCAGTGTGTGTGCGTGCGTGCTACAATGCTAGCGTGTTTGACAGAAGGAGAATAAGAGGTATCCACGGTAACCCCAGGTCTGAAAGAGTCTCTTCATCCTGTTATTCACTGTGAAAGGAAACAGGGAGAAAAGATTCCTGTCTGTGTGTATTGAAAAGGAACAGATGGCTGGGTGCGGCTGGAGGGAGGGGGGGCAGGGGCAGGATGTGGGACGGGCATCAGCCAAGGGGAGGGACAAGGGGAGGGGCCTGGAGCCTGCTCACTTGCGCACCCCTGGTGCATGAACAGTGCAACTACAACCTCTTTATATACATTTTAGTGTTTTATATTATAAACGTTTACATTAAATAAATAAAAAAAGTTTTGATGTTAAATTAAACAGGAGAATTTGTTCTCAATATTTGAACATTTAAAATATGCATATTTATAACGTTTTGGCCATTTAAAAAAATATTTTCTATTTTCCTTATACAGTATACATAGAGAAATATATTTTTTTCACTTGTAATTCAGGCCATTTCCGTAATTGTTGAATTGATTTCAAAAGTATGCGTGTCATTGTCAACATTTAAAAGTTTGAAAAGCATCAATTTATAATAATGTAATATATTACAGGTATAATTTAGAGAGTTCTTGTTTTCAGTCATTTTGAGGAGGGTAATGCAATTGTCCAATACAGCATTGGCAGATATGAGGAGGAAACCTTTAAAAACTACAATCAGCAACTCAAAGAAAAATGACAAAGGAAAAAGTACAATTCAAAACCAGTAAAATCATATTTTGTATAGAAATTTGTTATTGCCAATTTTCTAATGCTTGTAAAAAAATATCTCGAAAGTTAATCTTGCATGGGTCATTGAATTTAATTAATTTTGCGTGTTTTACATGTACTTGTAGAAACTACAGGAGGCAGAAAGTGCGGCGCCTCAGTTGGCGAGGTTGCATTCATACGTGGAGTCACATTGCCCTCTAGTGGCCAGATTGTGTATATCAGTCAGTGATTGTCATAAGACTCACAAGTATTCTGCTCATTTCTCAGAATTTCTTTTGTAGTTTAATAGGACGAGTATTGGTAATAGAAGAGAGCACAAATACGTTTGAGAAGAAAAACGGGAGACTTGAGGAGAGGTGGTGTTTAAGGATGCATGAGAGTACACTTGTGCATTTCTCTCAGGGCCAATCTGACCTCTCTTTGCTCTTCTGGCCATGAAGGTCTTCGGCA